TTCTTTTGTTTCCAATTTCTTTAAGGAGTACATTGTTCTTTGGCTGGCTTTGATCAGCTGCATCTATACAGAAAAAGTCGAAAGTTAAGTTTAATCCTACTTTATTCCTAAATTCCTTAAATCTTTCTTCAACAGGGTCCAAACAAAATTAATGTAATAGCTTTTTATAGTTTTTTTTTTTCAAAATTACATATTTATATGGATAGATGGATTGATGAATAGATAGATAGACGGACGTATGGATTAAACATATTTTCAGATAATTTGCTTAAACATTCAAAAGCTGTTTTTCTGTGTACAGCATGTTTACTAGAGCACTGGCCAATCATGTCATGCCAACAGTGAACACACCCTTTCTGAGGGGATATAAAAGAAAGCAGCTTTCCATACACCTCTACATACTTCTCTTTATCATCCATCACTTCAGATAAACGGCGTCAAGAATGAACAATCTCTCTCTACTAATGCCATCAAGCTCCAAGATGATACAGTTCCTCTTCTTGTTTTGTCTGACCCTGGCTGCTGAACCTCCTTCAGACAAACAGGAACTGAAGTTGGTTCGTGGTGGCTGTCCATTGTTCTGGTTTAGTTTTGGGGGTCGCTGCTACAAGTACTTTGGCTCAAGGAAGACATGGGGTGAAGCAGAGCTCCTGTGTGTGTCAAAGGGAGGCAACCTGGTGTCCATCCACAGTCAGGAGGAATACGATTTTGTCAATTTGCTGATCAACAGATTTGATCCTACTCAGAGATACACCTGGATTGGACTCACTGATTTTCATCGAGAGGGAGGTTGGATATGGTCTGATGGGTCCAAATACAGATTCTCCATTTGGAGTAAAGGACAACCTGACAACTGCCTTGGAAATGAACACTGTGTACACACCAACTTTGGCAACCAGTATTACTGGAATGATCACATTTGCTCAGGAAGATTTGCTTTTGTCTGTGCATCTCGTACAGTTTGCCCTTAGTCACTACAAGCATAAAAACTAGAAAAGCAATATTAAATGCTTTATATTTGTTAATTAGTTTTTTCTGTTTAAACTGAACCTGTTTTTGTCAGTAAAATCTGAGATAAAGCCAACAATCTGGCAATGTGACTGATTCTAATTTCTGTTAGAAATACTTTGATATGACCTTCATAAATGTCCATCTTCAAATGCTGTTTTTCTGTAATTCTTTTGTCCCATTCTTCTTTCTAGAAATAATAAGAATATTAC